GTTGTTGGATGATGTACGCCGCAGACTCGTTGTACCCGTTGCGCACTGAGCGCGAGTTGACAGTGTTGTTCGTGAGGTTGTTGGCCTGCAGCAACAGACGAAAGATTAGATGTGAGGCATGTTGTAGCAGCAAAGAGAGTGGTAAGGCACACGCACCGTAGCAAAGAGCTTGGCCAGGTGCTTCTGGATGTTCGTTGCGGTCACGCTCTCATAGTAGTTGGTGCCCTTGTGCTTGTTGTCATTGTCGTCGTCATCGGACAGGCCGGCGCTCAACGCAACGATCAGCACCACGGCGGCCAGCACCGCAACCACAACCACCTACCACAACAGAGGGACCTTGGTAAGAAACAAAAATAAAATAAAATCACGAATAATGAAGCGAGGATTGAATGAAGGTGTACCACGCCGATTCCGATCCACAACTTCTTCTGCTGGAGCTTGTACCACCAGGTGTCGAGAGCTGAGGCGGTTGATGAGGAATGATGAACGGAAAACGGAAAATCAGCTCAAATTAATTCATATTCATATTCATATAAATGCAGCGCCGTACAATCGTAAACGATCGCCGACTCCTCTTCGTCAGTGATTCGGTGCGTGAGGGCAGTCCTTTCGCTTCTCATTTTGTGCAAGATCTATCTTCCGCACGAGAACGAACTGAACCTTCTTCTCCCCAAATGAATTTTCCTCCCCCCTTTCGAATTCCAATAATATTTGGACCAATTATTACGCACACGGCCGCGTTCCAGTGGAACCGTGGCAGCAAGCCGACACTGCCGACGCCACACACACACGTTCGCAACCACCTTCTTCTTGAAGAAGGTTATGTTGAAGGGTTGTTGTTTTGATGCCATCGAAGAGGGAGCAGGGTGAGCAATGAGGAGCGCGACTTGAGCTCAGTCCTTGTCCTTTTCGCCGGGAATCCAGAACACTAATCGGAAGTCTGCCGAAGCGGCCATCATGTACCTGGTGGGTCGTCGACGTGGGCGATAGAGAAGGAGTAGTGTGATGGTTACCATCAGCTACGCCCAAGCGCGGTCTGCTGCTCGCAGAAGAAGAAGAGGAGGAAGAAGAGGTGGAAAATAGAG